TATCCATTTCCTACAAAAGAAAAATAACCCAAATAAGTATAAATATAAAAAAAATATTAAAATAAATAGATATATAAGAGAAAATTCACCAAATTCTTACAATATGAAACCTACAAAAAAAAAAGTTAGTAAACAAAATATAAACGATAAAAATATACCAAAATCAAAGACTTATTATGGATAAAAAGAAGTTAGTAAACAAAACATATTATGGATAAAAAAAAAAAAGAGAGTGGAATAAAAAAGATTGGAAAAAACAGAAAAATTAAAGGAAAAAAAAAACATGAAAGAGAGGGGAAGAGTAAGAGGAGTAAGAAAAAGAGAAAGGAGAAAGAATATTATGAAGTGTAGAGAAAGAAGACAGGAAAAAGAGAGGAAGAGTAAGAAAAAAGGAGAAAGAGTAAAAGGAATAGAGAAAGGAAATGAGAAAGAAGAGGAACGGAGGAGATGAAGAAGAAAAAGAAAGAGAAGAAGAAGAGAAAATGAGGAAATGAATGAGAGGGAGCTGGTTATATATAGGTTATATACGGACCGAACCCGATCCGAATATACCAAAATAAGTGCCGCATTACTGCCAATGGATAGCTTCAATGTTGCTGAAAATTTAGGCGGCAAACATTTCCAGACCGAAATTGGTCTGCAAATTACCAAAAAGTGCAATTCGCAGCGAAATTTTGGCGGCAAACTATACGGACCAAAAATGGTCCGTAAATAAATAATTAAGTGCCAATTCTAAAAAGTTTAATTTTCGATGAAACTTTTCGGAGGCAAAACTTAATCGGTTATATTCGGACCGGTATCGATCTGTATATATAAGTGTTAATTATAAAGATGAATTAAGTTATGTATTTATACACCGCTCACATTTATTTAGACCGTTGTTGGTCTGAATATATTGCAAAAAATCCAAAAACTTCTCCCTATGCAGCTTTTTATTCTTTTCATTTAAGGACATCACCATCTTCCCATGCCCTAAATCCGTTTTTAAGAAAACCAATTGCGTGAACATCAACACTATAATCTCCTGGAACCCCGGAACCGTTGATTCCTTCCTTGAAATTATCTAACGATGATGCGGGATAGAATCGTTGTAAAACCTTCAATGTATAAATATAAGGTTATTAGATATGAGGTTACGTAATGTTCTTTCAGAGCCACAAGCAAGTAAAATTGATTTTTTTGGGTAAGGTTAACCACTTTGGCATGCAAACATTCGGAATATTATGGTTTAAAACAAGAGTATAACGAATTGAGCATAAGATAAGGAAAACAATGAAAAAGCTGCAGGTGGGTATATATTGGGACCAAACCTGGTCCGTATAATTATATACCGGTCCGTATTTATATCTAATATGGTTTTTTAAATTATAAAGATAAATTAAATTCGGTGTAAAGATATATACGGATCGGTTTTGGTCAGAATATAGGCACATAATCTAGAAGCTTCCATGCTTTTGATTTTTCAGACTGTTTTTGGTCCGGATATGTTGCAAAAAATCCAAAAGCTTATCCTTATGCAACTTTTTATTCTTTTCATTTAAGGACATCACCATCTTCCTATGCCCCAAATCCGTTCATACGAAAACCAATTGCGTGAACATCAACACTACAGTCTCCTGGAACCCCTGAACCATCGATTCCTTACTTAAAATTATCTAACGATGATGCAGGATAGAATCGTTGTAAAACCTTGAATGTATAAGTATAAGATTATTAGATATAAGGTTATGTAATGTTCTTTCGGAGCCACAAGCAAGTAAAATTGATTTTTTTGAATAAGGTTAACCACTTTGGCACACAAACATTCGAAATGTTATGGTTGAAAATGAGAGTATAACGAATTGAGCGTGAGATAAGGAAAACAATGGAAAAGCTGCCGATAGGTATATATTGGGACCAATCCCTATCCGTATAATTATATATGGACCGGTATCGGTCCTATATATCATATAAAAAATCAAGGCCTGTTAAGCTGGTTGCAAAATTTTTACAGCCGGCTCAGTCCAAAAAAAACAGAATGTTCAAGGCAGTGCAGCACCAGCCAGCTTTAATCCTCAGTCGGCTCAACCCAAACCAGTATATACGGACCGATATCGGTCTGTATATAACTGTTAATATATACGGACTGGTATCGGTCCGTCTATACATGGATACCCAACACAGACGTTTGAATCAGGTGAGTCGGCTGGGGAATGAAAGCCAATTGGTGCTGGACTGCTTCGACATTCTGGTTTTGATATATACGAATCGGTATCGGTCCATATATGCTTGTTTGGGCACTAGACACTCAGCCATTTGTGTGTTTATTACGTATATACCACTGAGGTTCTGTGTTGGGTCTCCATGTATATACGGACCGATACTAGTCCGTATCTACTAGTTGGTGTTGAGCTGGTTGAGGAATGAAAGCAGGCTGGTGCTGCACTGCCTCGAACATTCTGTTTTTTTGGATTGAGCCGGCTGTAAAACTTTTGCAGCCGGCTTAACAAGCCTTGATTTTTTACAGGTTATATACGGATTGGTATCGGTCCGTATATACTTGTTTGAATTAGTTGAGCTGGCTGGAAAATGAAAGCCAGCTGGTGCTGCTCTGCTTCAACATTCTGTTTTTTTGACTGAGCTGGCTGCGGGTATTTTGCAGCAGGCTTTGCTTTTTTTGATATATATGGATCGGTATCGATCCGTATATTCTTGTTTGGGCCACTAAACACGAAGCCATTTGTGTGTTTATTACGGTTGTTATACTAATTGAAACCAATCTATGTATAAGTATTTCATTTAATTCGATATTTCTTACATATAAAGAATTTAATTGATATTTAAATTAATATATTTGATAATGTAAAATTATTTTCACATAATTTATAATATTTATCATATAAAATGCTAGAAAATTTTGTTAATTTACTCTAAATATATAAGTCTCCAATATCTACTATAAATATAAAGTAAAT